TGGATACACAAACACACTCCACGCAAATGACACAGACCTGTCCCCAGGCGGTTAGATCAGAAACCCCTTAATTCTTCAAATGCGGATGAGTCCGTTTCTTACCGTTTCCAAATCCCCAGCTGCAGGGCATGCAGCATCACCAGAGCGCAGCAACATCTGTGCCCATCTGCCTGGAACCAGACAAAGCTGAGGAGCTGGACGAGATAGCCAGGCAGAGACAAGGCAATGGTTAGCCCACACCAGAGGTACTGGCTGGAGAGAAGAAAATGGACAACGGTGCAGATCTCTGGAAGACAAAAGAAAGAAAAACCTGGTAGGAGGGCAGGCAGCCACACTCCTCCTCCACCTTTGCTCTGCTTGATGTAAGGACATAAGGAGGCCATAATCCATCTATCCGGCCTAGTGTCCTGTATGGACCATCTCTTCCAGGGCCTGGCCAAGCTGCTCATCTACCAGACCAGGAAGGAGGCACTGGGAACCCAGGAGACTGAGGGGCTGCCTTCCTTTCACTCCTCTGCACACTTTTGTCAGCAGAGTTTCACTGGGCAATGCCCACAAGCTCCTTATATACACATTCAAGGGGCAGTGGGTGCTTGCCGGTACCCTTCTTTGGCACCCTAGCTATTAACCTTTTATCTGCACTCCTCTTCCTGATTTTATCATTTTTTGCCCCAAGGAGTCCATTGCTGTAGTTAGGAGCCTCCCTCGAACCCCTGAGAGAGGCTTGTAGTTTCCTGGCAGACCTCTGCATGCTTCAGAAGCAATGGGTGTTGGCTGCAGCTAAGGCTGGGGATTTATGAAGCTGTCAGTGCTCCTGCTGGGACTTAAACCCAGGGCTTCCCCGCTAGAGGGTCTTGCCGCTCTGTTCAGAGTCAGACCCATCGCCCCAATGGGGTAAGGAAGGCATTTAACCTTGTGATCAGATTGGTATGGACTGCAAGGGTGTTTGCCTTCCACCGCAGTGGGGCACATGGCCCTCGTCCTTGGCTTTCTCCAGCATGTCTTAACAACTCTGGTAGCTGTGGAGCACTGGCCACCCTGGTTCCCCTGCTTTACCTGTTGCAAGTTGGGGTGTTATGCCTTGCGGTTGTGTCCAGGTTGACTATGTTGTTTTATGAATAGATTGGATAACGTATTTGTATAGGACGGATTGGACAGGGATACTCCTGCCTCGGGCAGGAGGTGGGACGAGATGATCTCTGAAGGTCCCCTCCAGCCCGACTTCTCTATGATGCTATCATTTTTTCATCTTAGTTACAGAAAAACCTTGGAAAAATGCAGAACCACCCCATTGACTTCCTCCTAGTCTCCCATAATACCTACACACGGATCTGCACCGGGTAGGCTGCGCTGTGTGCACGGTCCATTTATATGGGGCATAATGTCTCCCTGCAGCTTGTGCTCCCTCCGTCTTATTTTTAAACCCAGTCTTGCATCTTCTACTCCATGCACAAGTCCTCTGGGCCTGGCATTTTAGTCGTGCACATACAATGCTGAACGCAATGGGGCCCCAAGTTTGAGGAACAATACCAATTCATAATGAGGCCTTTGCTCTGGGATAAGCAGCATCACGCAGATCCAGATGGTGATTAGGTCAGAGAGAGCTCAGAAAAGGGTTTTAATTTGGGCAGACACAGAAAGTGTCAGCATTTTGTTCAAAGGGGGTAGGGAGATGCTCACGTACCCCAGAGCAACGTACACCAGGTTTGCCTACTAATATAAATTACACCTGGTTCCTGAATGGACACACGTAGCTGTCCTGGGGCAGCGGGCATCTTTAATGTGCTTCTCTACAAGGCAGTAGGGGAGAGGGTAACAGCCTGGTTGGATCTAGGCTACCCCAGGATGGAGGGGGACAGATGAAACCTGAACTGGTGTAACTTATAGGGATAGGGCTCTATGCTTGATTCTTTCAAGGGGAATTCTCCACTGGGACTGGGTGAAGTTACCGGGGTTTGCAACTTCTGTCTGCTCCTTTTTTACAGCAGCTGACTGTCAACTATGTGAAGGGAAGTATTTCACCTGCCCATACCCCAAAATACTACTTCTAATGCACAGTAACTGCATTGCTATTAAACTGTAACCCCTTCCGTGGGACAACCACCATCCCCTGGCTATGCCCATGTACAACACCTAGCACGAGGAGGCACCGATCTCTCTCCTTTCTGCTTCTCCAAAGCAGTGGTTCTCAACCTTTTTAGACTTGAGGCACCCTGGATAGACTCCGGCCCCTGTCCTTGGAAAATGCCAGCTCTTACTTTTCACTCTTTTTTGGACCTCAGAAAAAACAACAGAGCAGGTTTTTTCTGTTGCAAAGACCTCAGAAACCACAGGTTTCTCTGTGAAACCTTTGCCTTTCTCCTGTGAATCATATCCGTGACCCTAACAATGCTACCACCATGCAGCACCCTTGGCAGCACCTCCAGGTACCCCAGGGCTTGGGGCATCTCCGCTGAGCCGCACAGCTCTGAAAACACGTGCTGTGGATCAGGGGCCGGGTTGCTCTGGCCAGCGGGTCTGCATGGAAAGCAAACACACGACGTTACCACTGGTAGCGAAGCAATTTCTCTTTTAAGAATGATCCATAATAGATTTTACAGCGGATCCGTGCCAAAATGTGGAGGGCCTAAATTGCAGTGCAGATGTACTTCATTTATTCTACTGGTGAGTTTATATTTGGATTTAAAACAGCAGAAAGATAACGGGTATTTAAGCAACGTCAAGAAGTTTTGTGCTCTGTGAAATGCCTTATTGGGATGGACTGAGTTACTGGGAAGATAGTATCAATATGTGTAACAATATGCCAAATCCAATTCAAACCATTAAGGGCGGTAAATAATTACTTAATGAAATATGTAGTGTTTTCTCTTTCTGGGGTCATCTGACCCAGTGGTCTTTCCTGCCCAAGTCCCTCCCAGCCCCTAACAACTATGAACCTATGAGAGCAAACTCTCCCATGGCAATGAGGCTGACGTTGGTTGCTTATTCCCAAGTCCTTATTCCCGGTTCTTTGGGTAAAGCCGATCTCTTTTATTAGACCAACTAGAGAGTTGGACACACATTTCTTCCCCCAACTCTTTAGTTAGTCTAATAACAGAGATCAGACACACCCAAAGAGCCTTGTCTGCCGAGGTCCTTAGATCAACATGGCTACAATTTACACCCTTATTCCCAGCTCCTTGTTCCTGATTCCCGGCTCCGTTTTCAAAGCTAATCTGGACCCAATACAAGCTTGTTATTAATGAACTGCTCATCCTAAAGAGAGAGGATTTCCTCGGCTACGCCAGTCTAGACCCAATGCAAGCTTATTAATGAAGTGCACATCCTAAAGAGACAGGATTTTCTTAGCTATGCTTTGAAAAAGGAACTGGGAATAACCAACCAACTTCGGCCTCGTCCTATGGCACCAGCAGAGCAAAAGCCCCGGGGCAAAACAAGGTGCCCATTCAATTTGCACCCAGGCGGAGAACAGGGCGCAGAGCAGCCAAGGGGGCCCCAGCAAGAGCCCCCCCTCCTGGCCCAGCACTGCCCGCCCAGGCCTGGCGGCTTGTGGGGGGCTCCCCCTGTCCAGGGCTTGCTCCCCTCCAGTGCTTGATAGCCCAGACCTCTTCCCTGCACCGCTGGAGAGGCCGTCAGCTACGGGATGGCGGGAAAAGGGCAACCCCGGGCCGGCGGCACCGCCGGCTGCTTGGCAAGGTCGTCAAAGCTCCGCCATAAAAGCCGCGGGACTCACGCGCGCCGCGCTCCGCCGCCAGCACCAGGAGGCTCAGGCCGGGCCACGCCGCCCGCATCCTCCGCCCGCCAACCGCGCCGCCGAGGGGGAGGAGGCGGGAGCTGCACCCGCGGCGGGGAGGGAAGTCCCGGAAGGGAGGGGCGGGGAGTCCCGGCAGGGCAGGGGAGGGCAGGGGCGGGGAGGGGAGTCCCGGCGCTCCAAGCGCACGAGCAGAAAAGACTTTTTTTTAAAAAAAAATGTTGCAATGCATAGAAAACCGCTCCTTTCCTCTCCTCTCCTCTCCCGGGGAGGGTGACCCCGGTCCTTTCCGAGGCAGGATTGATGCGGGGTCGGACCCGACTTCGGGGCGTGCTGCCGGCACTTTCGTGCCTCGAAATAAAGACACGCTTCAACTTTAGGGGACCACCCCGTGCTCCCTGGGGGCTGGCAGTGAGCAGGGGGAAGTAAGTGAGAAGCAGACGTCTTTGCATAGTTTTTTTGCACGCTTTGCATCTCTTTTGCATACGACTTGCAGACTTCTTTGCAGAGAAGTAAATAAGAATAGAGAAGCAAATAGGAAGAAATGAGTCACCAGGAAGAAATAGTGGTACACGAGCGATATGAAAGAGGTACATAAGAAGAAATCAGTCAATAGGAATAAAGGGCGGTACAGGAAAGATATGCAAAGACATATGCAAAGAAGTAAAGAAGAATAAAGAGGTAAATAAGAAGAAATAGTGTGCATGAAAGCTATGCAAAGAAATAAATAATAAGCAAGTCAATAAGAATAAATAGTGTACACAGAAGGTATGCAAAGAGGTAAATAAGAAGAAATCAGTCAATAGGAATCAATAGTGGTACATGGAAGGTGTGCAAAGACGTATGCAAGGAAGTAAATAAGAAGAAATAGCGTGCACTAAGGTACACGAAGAAGCATTCAGGGAAGTCGTCTTATTATTTAGTTTATATATTGGAAGCTCAGAATTACCGTATGTGCTGAAACCCCCCACTACTGTCGCTTTTGCAGCACGTGGGAGAATTTTGAGCTTCCAATACTAGAATTTCATAATGAGGACCTGGCAATGCTGAGCTTGTCGGCCCAGGGGACTCGGGAGCCTTACCCTCCGCCCCCCATGGGGACCTGGGGCCCCACGGCAGGGAGTTTGGAAGCTGCGGTGCCTCCTGGGTGGCAGCGGTGCTCCCTGCATCCCCTCGGGGTGAAAGGGACGTGGCCCCTGGGTGCCCCGCGAGGCGGCGTGTCGGGGTGGGGACCCTGCTCCTGACTGGAGACCTCGCCAGCCCTAACCGCGACGGGAGGTCTGCAGAGTCCAGGCCGCTGAAACCTCCAGTCAGGGAGTGACGTGGGTCAGACGGTCTCAGGGGCATCGCCGGGGCTACCCACAAGGGATCTTGCTGGCTCAGGCCCCTCTGGGTGCTGGGTGGAGGCACTGGCCACCCCTCCCTGCTGAAGATGGGGAGAAACCTTCGAGCATCGCTGGGCCTCACAGGGAGGGTGACTGTAGCCGAGTGGTTTAGGGCAGCAGCCTGGATGGAGGAGACAGTCCCCAGCCCTGCTCCTGCGACGGCCTATGTATTTTAGCTGATAATTGTTAAAATGCATAAAAAGTCCTTCGGGGCGGGAACGGGAGCCCAGGTCTCCCCACTCCCCCTGGGCTGCAGAGCCCGCCTCCCATTTCCCCCCTCCCTCTGGTCCCGGGAAGCCTGTTCTTTGCCCTGAGGCCAGTTGCGTCATTGGGAGCATCCCCCCGCAGAGGTGGGAGATGTGGGTCTGAATCCCCTCAGCCAGGGCGCGTCTACATGAGATGGTTACTGCCTAATTAGCACTCCGGTAAAGTCTTCGCGTCTCCACGTGCAGAAACTAATTAGCTCCGCTGCATGTTAGTACTTGCAAACATAAGTACTGTCCCGTGGCAGAGCTCTTTATACTCCCTGTCCTCAGGGTTTCCCTGTAGGTGACCTTAAGTGGCTGCCTGCGTGACGATGGGTTTGAACCTGCTGTGAAGCATCTACCTCTTCCCGGGGGAGCAGAGAGGCTTTCCATGGGCTCTGGATAACATGCCGGGAGGCCAGGTGCCTAAGTGCTGGGTGCTGCTGCAAGTCCCTTTTTGACTCTCACTCAGTGACATGCCCAAGGTCATACAGGAAGGCAGTGGCAAAGCAAGGACTTGAACCCCACTCCTAACCCCTGGGCTAGCTTTCCCCTGTGTGGTGGGCACCATCCTGTTAGTCTTTCCTCCAGTCCAGCTAGCATCCAGCTGGGTCTTTTTTCCCATGTACTGCATGATCACGCCGCCTGCTACTTCATAGCAAGCCCCCGGGACCAAGCCCCGGCAAAAGCAACATGGCACAGCCCAGACTGGCGTGTCCCTCTCCATGCAAACTATAATTTATTAGGGGAACAACGGGTCCGACTGGCTCGGGACTGCTCCTCTGCTTTCCTCCACCTCCGGCTGTCTCCGGTGCTCTACATTTTGTACTTCAGCACGTAGTCGTCAACACAGCAGTTTCTCAGCCCACGGTGGCATCGCCCGACGTACTTTTCCAGGCTGTGGCACAGGGTGTGGCGGCACACTCCGTTCAGCAGGTTGCATCGCCCCAGGCCTGCAGAGAGAAGTCAGGGCCTTAGGGTTTCCGTTTTGCTGATTTGGGTGCTCCTAGAAACCTTAAGCAACCAGTTCACCCCTAACTGGTCTCTAGGAAGTTGTGATGGAGGGAATAGACTGTGGACTGGACCCTTGTCATCAGCTCCCCAACTACCCCATCTCCATCTGTGGGCAGCCGGGTTAGCTTCTCCTCCGAAAAATGATCGTAAAGGGTGCTGGCTTGCTATGCATCTACCTGTGCTCCAGTACTGCAGGGCTCTCAACGGAGATTTCCCCCGAGCTGCTGCTCATGACCCTTTCTCTGAAGGCACCCCAAAAGGAAACCTTGGAGTTCAGTATGGAGCTTGGAGCTAAACTCTTGGTGGGCAGAGAGGGTTGCTTTACACCTCGTTGGCTATGCAAAGAGGCGTTGTTGCCGTCACTAGAGAGGTCTGGTCATTACCAAGGACACTGGTTTTCTCTGTTTAAAACAATCCCAAATTCTCTGATTAGAAAACCCAAAATCCGCATCTTTCCATGATTAAAATGAACAAACCGCTGCTATATATACAGGTATGAGTTGAACACAGTGTTTTATTGATATAGTTACAGTTTTAAAGCAATTTGGAAGCTGACCAGTGCCTCAATCATTATAATAAAAGTAATTCTAAATACCTATAAATTTTGGCTTTTGATTTTTGTTTTTTTATCTTGGAAGATCAGAGCTTCACCCTGGCCTGTTCCCTCACCAAGATGTGGGTCCAGCTATGACTTTGCTCCCCGCTGCTTTGTGGTGCTGAGTAGCACTGATATGCCAGTGCCTTGCCTGTGCCCATGCTGTTGCCTCTCGTTCCCAAGTCACAGCCCCCCGGCCCTGCCAGTGCCCCCTCACTTCTGACCCACAGCCCCCCGGCCCTGCCAATATCCCTCACTTCCAACCTGCAGTCCCCCCCATCCTTGATGGTGCCCCTCACTCCTGACCTGCAACCCCCTGGTCCTGCCAGCGCCTGTCACTCGCAACCCACACCTCCCCATCCCTCCACCCTACTGGGGCCCCTCACTGTGACCTGCAGCCCCCTGCCCTCCACAGTCCTACCGCAGGGAGCTCGCAACTGCCAGGGCTATGGGACCATCCTGCCCCGCTTCCTACTTCATGGGCCCCCAAGCCCTGGCTGCAGGTGGGGAGGATGCGGGTGGGGAGGATGCGGGCTGCCCGCTGCAGGCTCGAAGCTCCCTGCCTCGCTGCACAATTCCCTGCTACAGCTGCCACTGGTGCTGCCAGTGGGCAGGGGGCACCTCGCCATGGCGGCACAGCCAGCACAGGGCTCCTGGCAGTGGCAGCGGTGGCACTGAGCCTCCCTGCCCCAATCCACCCTCCTGCACCAGGTCCTGCCTACTGGGCTGCAGAGGCAGCCAGGATGCAGCCCCATGCCCTGTTGTGGGCAAATAAATGTGAGGGGCCATGTGCCCTCCTGTGCCCTCCTGATATGTTGCAGGAAGCCACCCCCGCCGCCAGCCCTTTGTAGCTCTGTCCTGCTCCCCGGCCGGGTCCCACAGCCATGCATTCCTGCCCTGGCCCCAGACACCACCTGGGGTGCGCGGGTCCCCTAGCCCCATCTGCCAACCCTGCCCCACTCCCTCCCTCACTGTGGCTGCTGCCCCAGTCTGCATCCCTGCCACTGTCCCACTAGACATACCTGCAGAGCTGCTCTCCACCACTGTATTTCTGGCCGTGTGCATGTGTGCATGCATGCAAGTGCTTATGGTGCCCCCTGGCTAGCGACAGACATCCAGAAAGCCTGAGCTTAAATTGAGTCAATCTTTGCAGGTTAGTCTAACCTGGCTAGGCTGAACCAGTTTGTTACTGCTCAGACTTTCCCTCTGGAGTGAGGAAATGGAGGCATATGCCTGCAGTGGCTCAGGCTAGAAGCTGGGGGTGGGGGTGGGGGGGGCGGCACTAGGTCAGCCCTCCCTTCCCTTCTATAGTGCTGAGCTGGGGAGGGATGCAGCCAGGTGCCAGCAGGACAATCTGATTAGGGAGGAGTTCCCCCCCCCACCCCGTTGTTCCTGACCAGGGTGGGAGCTAGCAGGGAGTTGATAACACAGCGTTTAACACCCCATCAAGAAAACAAAAGTCTCTCTCATCAGTTCAAGCTCTTCTTAAACAACTTTTTTACAAGGAAGGAATGGAGGGACATTACCACTTGACCTGTTGATTATCTCCAAAAAGCCTTAAGCAGACACTGTCCTGTCTGCCTTTGTCCTGTCTGCCTTAGACACCTCTCAGCAGTAGCTAGCATACCACATGCTGGCTACGGTCTGTGCTCGGGGAGAGGGGAGGTGGGGAATCCCTGCTTGAACAGGGAGTGGTGGTGGTGGTGGGTACGGGGAAGCCAGGCAGATGTTTCTGTGCCTGCTGTCTCTGCCAGAGCTTCAGCATTCCCACTGTCTCTGCCATCACACAGGTTGTGTGATCCTGGGAGGTTTGATT